TCCAAAAGGAAATGAGCATAGACTTACCAACAAGACTTGTTAAAATGCCCTTCTCTTCTTCCCTCCATGTTTCTTGCACTTTCACAAAGAAGTGCTGAGCCCTTGCACTTGTGGCCAGCGTCTCTGGGTAGCATCCAGGTCTTCATGCTGGTCCTTGTCACCAGCCACATGGTTGGTGTCTGACCTTGAATTATTCGTTGCTTCCTAATGCCCTGGGCACTGACCTCAGCGAGTGTACCTGCTCTTCTCTATAGGGCCCTGGTCCTGGAGCCATCTGCCAAGATCATCGCCAAGAACCTTAGCTGCTCAGTGTGGTTCCTGGCCCAGTGTGCCCAGAGCCATGAGAAATCCTGTGCTGAGGCTTCTGAAGCTCTGGAGACGAGAACATGGTTGGCCTGGGCTGGTGGGTCCACAGCGGGTGACATGGAGCACAGAGGCTGTGGGGCTCCCATCTGTGCACTTTGGGTAGTCCTGGGGGTATCTTGGTTTGTGCGCCCGGGAGCCACTGTGGCTGCAGGCAGTTTATCTGGATGTAGTCTCAGGACGTGGGCTTGCGGGTGTGGGGACTGGGGCATTGCAGAGAGGGAGCCAGGGGTTTTTCACAGGGTGCTGCTGGGCTGTGGGTTTGGACTCTGGGGATGCTGCCACAGTTTCTGCCAGCATCAGTCACTGCAGTGGTGGTTCAGAGAGATGCTGCTGGCTTCACTGTGGCTGCTCCTGCGTCAGGGAGGATCCGAAGTGTGCAGAGAGCCCACAGGCCCAGGCAGGGGGCTGTTGGCTGTCCAGTAGCATTGAAAGGCACGTGATTGTCACCTGCTCTGTCTTTCCCAGGCTTTTTTCCTACTCTCTTGCATTTCTTACTCCTTCACCTTCTTTTTCCTGCCCCCTATCATCACTTTGGCTTTGGGCAGCAAGACTCTGGCACATGAGCCTTTGGGGAGCAACTGTCCCCCAGCCGTTGCAGTGGGTCAGGGTGCATGCGCAGATCCAGCAGCTGCAGTCAGCTTGCGGGGTTTGGTTGACTTGTGGTTCATATTGTCGGAGCCCACAGAGGGAGCGTGTGTGCTTGGAAGTCATGGCCTTATCTGTGCAGGGGCAGGGTATAGGTGGTTTATGGCAAACCTTGGAGGGCTTTATCTACCACCTTCTCCTGATGAGGAAGGGAGTGCAGCCACTGAAGGTGTTTAAGGAGAAAGAGACAGTTCAGGTTTTTGAGGAGAAAGTGTTTCACTCTAGGGTCGAGGTATAAGGTGGTTTCTGAGTGTGTTACTCAAGACCTTACTAGTGCAGGCATCATTTAAAAACGAATTAAGAATCAAGTCTCTTCCTTATGTGACAAGGAGTCTGGGCCTTGGGTCCAGCACAGCTGTGCCATTAAGTTCAGGATCTCCCTTTTCCTTTGTGACCCTGAAGGCACTGACCCGGGCTTCCACTTGCCCTGCCATGGTGGCTGGCCCCTGCTGCAGTTCTAGGCAGGGGCATGGCAATGTCCATGGCAGTTCCTCACCTACTAGGCGGCAGAGCCCCTCTCAGAGCCCCTGGCCCCCTTCTCCTGGACACCACTGGCTGGGCCCAGGTCCTGTAGGACAGCTGCAGCAGCTTCTTAGCTCTGTGGAGGGGCTCTTGCCCTCCAAGAGGGGTGGGAGCTGGAAGTGGGTAGGGGTAGGGTGGGTACCAGCACTGGCACTTCCCAGAAGCCACTTTCCCAGAGGGAAGTTCAAGCAGGAGCTGCTGAAGAGTTAGCCGACAGGCGGATTCTGGCCCAGTCCTGCCTTGTTCACAACTCAGGGCTTTCCCCACACTGGATTTTAATGTGACAAGGCTTCCAAACCTTGCCCCCCCCTCCCCCCCCATGTTCATCACCAGCTCTGCAGTGTGCTCACAATGCCTGCCGCCTAGAGCAGAGTGGTCCCCTCCCTCCCTGCAGAGCATGGGAGCTCTTTAGCCACCTCCTACTACCCCACCTCCTACTAACCCCCACCTCCTACTAACCCCCCGCCTCCTACTAGCCCCCTGCCTCTAACTAACCCCCACCTCCTACTAACCCCCCCCCCGCCTCCTACTAGCCCCCTGCCTCTAACTAACCCCCCCCGCCTCCTACTACCCCCCATCTCCTACTACCCCCCGCCTCCTACTAACCCCCCCGCCTCCTACTAGCCCCCTGCCTCTAACTAACCCCCCCTCCCACTATCCCCCACCTCCCACTACCCCCACCTCCTACTAACCCCCACCTCCTACTAACCCCCACCTCCTACTAACCCCCACCTCATACTAACCCCCATCTCCTACAAACCCCCACTCCTACTAACCCCACCTCCTACTAACCCCCACCTCCTCCTACCAACCCCCACCTTGTATTAACCCCCACCTCCTACTAATCCCCACCTCCTCCTACCCCCTACCTCCTACTAACCCCCACCTCCTACTAACCCCCACCTCCTACTAACCCCCACCTCCTACAACTCTGCCTCCTACTAACCCCCAGCTATAGTGTGTGTTTGCTTGTTTGGTTTTTGATTCATGCCATCAACTGGCTTATGCTTTGGTGAGCTCTAATTCTCAGGTACTTTTTATGGGACCATATCTGTTCCTGGCATATCTCCCACATATTGAATTGTATCCCATGGCAAATTCTATTATACAGTGAAGCATCATTTTAAGGGCAAAAATTCTATAAGATGTTGTTTCTACCTTTTTATAACAACCAGCATATTCTGCTTTAGTTATTTATGCATGTGTATCACCCAATATGCAGACTACAAAAAAGACTTCTATGACTCAGACAATTTGTAGACCTTTGGAAATGTTTTTGTTATAGCCACTAAAAATAAAAATAAAATAAAATAAAGCCCACACTGCTGTGGGCATGATGCCACCAAGCCTGTCAGAACGTGAGCCCCAACAGCAGCTGTGGAGACCTCCAGCTCCACCTCTGCCTGTGCACCCCCATAGGTGTCCTGTATCCTTCAAGGATGGACATTGGTCCTTGATTTGGCCTTGGAGTGAGGTGTGCAGTTCTGTCTGAGTCACGAACTCAGCTACTCATTTTTCTCTTCAGTTTGATATTAACATATTGATTGTTGATTCTAATTATATGGTTAAGGGCCTTTTCCAGTCAATTTGAAACTTCCCTAACACTGTTTTATGGCTCTAGAGATGATCCAAGTGCCTGGACTCTAGGCCAAGCACTCCAACCTTCAGTTGTAGAACAGAAACTGAGAATGTGGGTTCTTATCATTAAGCTCCTTAGCCAAGTTTTTCTCTGGCCTCGTCGTGATGGACTCTCCTTCCCGGAGTCAGTCCATCCTTCTCCAGGCTGCCTTTGCGGTCTAGGTGTTGGATTGCTGAGGCTGCCTCAGCTTCCAGGGAACAGACTGCCACTTTGCCTTTGCCTGCTTCCCTTGACTTTTCCCACTCACCTGGCTTCTTATTGCTCCTGGCTCTGGTTGCACCTCCCTGATAACCCCACATTCCATCACTTTCCAAACGCGCTCCTTGTGCCTGCCTGTCTTATTGCCTGTCCTGTGCCTACCCATTCACCCCAAATGCACTCTGAAAAAGACTTATGTGGAGTGGCATGCACTCTGAAACAGGGACCCAAGGCAGCTCATTATAGATTCTATGACTTTCATTCTAAGAGAGCTCCCCACCCGTCCTTCCTGTATTTCCTTCTCTCGCAGGGAGCTCAAGTAGCATGCTCTCACAGCATTCAGAGAGGACTCTGTGCTCCTCAGATTTAGCAGAGAAGCTTTCCTTGCCCCTCTGGAGGATACCGTGTTCCTCTGTGAAGGTTGCTGCCAGTGGCGATGGACTCGTTCTGTGTGTTTGAGTGCTGTTTGAGCTCATCCAGCGCACCCTCCACAGCACTGATGCACACTCAGAGCGTGGTTTAGTCTGCCTGTTCTCTGGCTTGGTCTGCTTTGGTGGCTCACCATTGCCTTCCAAGAGGTGCACCTGGGAGTCTGCCATTGTGTGGGAACTAGAGACATGTTTTGTTTGGCTCCTAATTGCTTTAAGGAATTCTAGATTAGGGTCAGCCTTGGATAATTAGATTTCTCCCTTTGAACCTTCAGAAGATGTGAGTCACCATCTGAACAGGGGCCCCTGGGAACAGGAGCCAGGCCTGTGCTCTGTCATTCAAGCCACTTCACAGCTTCTCTCACTCAGCTGTGTGACTGGGCTCCGTGATCATTGGAGGTTCACCCCCTGGCAAGCACCAAAGGAAGATCCTAGATTTCTCCTGGGCAGTCAAGCCTCCAAGACTTGGACTTACTCCCTTTACCAGATTTTTTTTTTTTTAATGCCCTCCTTCCTCATGAGTCAGAGCTCAGGAATGCTCCTTGTCTTTCCTTTCTCATCCTGGGGCACCCCCATTTCCTACCACACTGACTCCTTTGACACCACTCTCCTTGGCTCTGGGCTCTGACCGCTATACTCCCAACTGCCCGTCACTAAACTTGACTTTTATGCATAGCTGAGGGATGTTTCTCTAATGCCTTTCTGACTTCGCAGATAGATTCTTCCTTTCTGTACCCTTCTGTTCCATTCAGTGCAGAGCAGACTGCTCTTGACTGCACCTTTTGCATGCGTGTCTCTCCTGTTGGGCCACAGGGGCTGCCAGGGCAGGGTCCGCCTGCATCACCGTTTACACCCACCAGGCTGCATGCAGAGTCATTGGGCAGATAAGCCAGTAAGAGAGTGGCTTCTTTCTCAGACTGTGAGTGTTCAGTGCAGTGTTGTTTGTTATTAAATCTGAAGTCAGCTTCACCTGTCAGTGCATTCCTGTGCCTGCAGGTGTCCTGGGCTGGGTGCAGTGAACTGCATTGCACTGAAGGGATAACAAGCCAAGAGATGGTGCCTTGGGTGACACAGTGGCCTGCATGGCTCTGTGGGCCAAGGAGAGGCAGGGAGGTCCCATCTCCTTTACTGTCGTCACCCCAGGAGTGACTCTGTCACTAATTTGGAAGGCTAGTTTATATATCTTGGCATTTTCTCCCTAGGTAATGAGTCGGATATTGAACTAGAAAAGAAGTATAAAGACGATGATCGAGAAAAGGGCCCGAAAAGACCTCGGGCGCAGAAAACAGAGAAGGTCCAGAAGATCTCAGGAAAGGAGGCGGGACAGCTTTCTGGAGCCAAGAAACCCATCATCAGTGTGGTTCTAACTGCTCACGAAGCCATTCCAGGTGCCCATGATGGGTGGGAATGGCAAAATGGGCTTTCAGCAGGACTGACCCGGAGCAGCCTGGCAGGGTAGTCTTATTGGGAGTTCAGGCTCAAACCAGAACTGTGGTCTTGGGTGGTTCATTTGCCGATGGGGCTGTCATTTAGTCACCCATGAATTTGGGAAAATGACAGACTTACTTCCTCCCCAGGACTGTGTGGGTAATGTGTGGAGTAGCAAAGGCTGCTGCCCACAGAGCGTCTGCCTGCCACAGTGTCTCTGGATTGGCCTCTCCAGGAGCACTGGCTTGTGTGCCCCAGAGCCTCCACTGGAGGTCCCCTCCCTTGCTACCAGCACCTGCCTCTTCCTGGGAAGCCAGCCTAGACAGACGCTGCTGCTCCCCTGACCCTGGGAACTCTGCTTAACTATTTGTATTTTTAGTGGGTTCTCCAAATATTGTGTATTACTAGAAATTTCCATTTCTAATTCCTTTTTACATGAAATAACTGGTGGATATACCATGCTATTTTTAAAAGTCTCTTCTAGGATGTGACATTTTAGACAAATAGGGGCTTATAATAGTAGATTTCAAAGCATGATAATATTTTTATTTTTTTCCTATTTATTTGGAATGGTAGCTGTCAAAAAATTTACAAGATCAAGTTTAGGACTTTAAAAACAGCTACTGCCTTTTAAGTATCTATTTTCTTTTGCTTTTTTAAAGTATATTTTCAATGCTAATAGTAACTCACAATTTTAAGTGAAAACTCTGAATAAATATTTCACTGCAGAGTCAGGCAATCAGTACAGAATATACAATGTAAAATTAGGTGCCTAGAACTTTCTGGAAAGTCACTTTGCCCAATTTCACTTCAGAACAGTATTATTCTGTTCTGAATGATTATTCTGTTCTGTTCTATTATTATAGGAGGGTTTTCTATTTCCAGTGGTTGCTAGAGAAAGTTTCCACAATTTTTCTCAAAATTTGGTGGCAATATTTTGAGATTTTGACAGTAAGGTGAAAGTGTAATTAGTTCTTTTTGATATTCCAGAAACAATATCAAATAATATTAGAAACTTTTCTTAACAGCAGTTGACACCTCCCATCCCCCTGACACACAGGTCCATGCACACACACACTTGGTATGTGTATACACGTGTGAGGGTTCACTGCTATAAGAGTGGTCTTTGATCATTTCACATTATAAAATTGCAGAAGCAAAGGTGACCTTAGAGATTTTTCATTCTGAACTTTTCATATCATAATGATGGCATGGAAGGAGAATTCCAGAGATGTTAAGGTAATGTCGTATTTGGGACTGGCCCCAGAGGGTGTAAATTCCTGTTTGTAGTCTCTTTTGTCCTTCCATGCTATCTCCTGCAGCCTGTGCTTAAAGCTCAACATGTGTGGCTCTGAATAAACTTTGCACATAACGTGTATATGATTGTAAGTAGAGATGTCCATCATGAGGACATTTAGATGGATTAGAAAACTTGCCCCTTCTTCCCTCACACACACATACACACACTTGCACACATGCAAGTTAAATGTGTCAGCTGGAGAACAGCTAGTGTGTTGCACAGGACTCCTGCAGTAAGGAGGTAGCCTTCCAGCAGCACTGCCTCTGCTGGGATGGGTCAGCCTTTTCTAGTGCCTCCCAGTCAGCAGTGTATTGTGCCTCTACCTCAGGTGCTACCAAGATCATTCCAGTGGAGGCGGGGCCTCCGGAAACAGGAGCAGCAAATCCCGATACCACTGCGGCAGATCTGGTGCCTCGGAGAGGGTACCAGGAATACGCCATTCAGCAGACCCCCTATGAGCAACCCATGAAGTCAAGCAGGTAAGTGTACTGATCTGTGACCCCAACTGGAGGGTAAGCATAAGTGACCTCCACAGAGCACTAGGAGGGTCAGTATGTTTGTCGTCTGCTGTCTGTTTACAAGCTTATTTGTGAAGGATGTTGCCTTCTTGACGTGAGGAAAGAATTCACCCTCCCTCACAGCTCCTAGTATATACTGCCTCTGAAATGCAAGGCAGAGCAGCTTGCTTTTGGAACTGAGCACCAATTGGCTTAATGAAGGTGGAGCATTTCACTTCAAGCAAATGTGTTTAACCTTTATTAGGAAAGGTATAAACATAGCCTGTCTTCTCTGTTCTACGTATGGTAAACAGTTTTCATTCCCCTCTTTCAGAAGTACTACAAGCATGTTGTAAATGGTTCAGACATCCCATATAATGTGAATTCATGTAAACCATAGTTCCCTTTTCCAGATTTAATGACTTGGTAGTTTGGTTCATATGTCCATAATTTTATCATGATATATCAACACACATTGCTTTAATTTTATTATGTTTTTAAACATGAAATACCAACTGTATTATTTTCAACTTCTAAAAGAACATACTGCACCATGAAAACCTTTCATTTTAAAAAATATTAAGAGCTGGAGATATAGCTCAGTGGTGGAGTTCCTGCCTGGCATTTGCAGGGCCCTGGGTTTGATCCCCAGCACTACAAAAATTTGTGTTTGCTATCATGTGGGCCTCTTGTCATTTAAATAGCCAGTATTTGCTATGATGGACAATGTAGTGATTAACATTCTGAACCCTCATCTTCCCATAATTCTAGGCTTCTTGTGGGATAAATTGATAGAAGTGAAATTGATGCATGGTAGGGTATTAATCCTTCAAACATGAACCACCATTAGACACTATGCTCCCAGTGCACGGAGCAGTCAATCTGCCCCTGTGTGAAGGAGTATGTTCCTATGCCCTCCTCCTGGGGGGTTGTCTCAGCTGTGATATGTCCTTGCAGAAGTCCATCAGCAAAGTGACCACCAGAGTTCTGAAAACATTTTCCCACATACAATTAAAGGCAAAGAGATGCCAGTTTCCAGTGTTTCCCTGTTTCTAGAAGAGGCAAAGTAAAAGCTTCTTGGGTAGAACTCAAGCCCAAAGACCGGACAACCCTATGGTGGCTCTAGACTCTTCACCCTGAGTTCAACTCAGCAAGCCATGTGTCTGTTAAATGCTAGGTGCTGGCATGTGACAGAGTCTGACTCAGTCCCCATGCTGTGAACTTTGTGCTCTGTGCAGCTTGACACAATCATTTACTTTTGATCGTCTGTCACCCTGGCCTAAGTTGTCTGGTAGAATCTTAGTTCAGGGTGAGAATAAATGATGAGATGTGAGTGTGATGCCTGACACACATCACACCATTACACTGTCACATCACGTGGTGCCTGACACACGTCTCACCATTACACTGTCACATCATGTGGTGAGCTCCATAATTTGTAGCCTGAGTTCACTGTTGTTGTAAATGTGAACAACTGAAGTCTTTGATGGAGTCGTAAGAAGACTCATTCCCTTGACGAATCTGTAATTGAATTAATCTCATGATTGTTCTCTGTCTCAGGGGGATTTGCTTAACCAATTATCATCACAGTATTTCAAGGTCTGTTAGGAGGGCTTCAGCTGAATGACACCCTAGTAACAGGAGAATGTATTCAAAATTCCATCGATAGATTTAGGCCACATCCTGTTATGTGTGTTGTTAATATTCATTGTGCAAATTATAAAATAGTTAAGAAAGGCAGCTTTTTTTTTTTCATGAGGTCTCTGCTCTGTAAAATATAGTTTAAGAAGTTTAGGTTATATCATTTTTTTTCTTTAGGTATGATACAGATTTTTATAGAAAATTTCCTAAGTCCAGAAAACTAAGGAAAAAGTAATTTGTCACTACCCAAAGACAGTTCATATTTTTGATGTATTCCCTATGGCCCTTTTCAGTATATTCATTTTATAAAATTGAGTTTGTGTTTTATGTGTGATTTTGTATTTTGTATTTGAAACTTAGTCATGTTACATTTTCATTATAACTCAGATCATTCCCACACGTCTTGCTTCTCAGCTATATGCTATGACTTATTAAGGATGTAGGACAGTCTGCTCAGCTCTGGACATGGAAGCCAATGAGATGACTTTAAAATGCTCATCTGATTTGTTGTTACCTTGAAGGGTTCGCCTTGGTGTCAGGAGAACAGGTCTTCTCAGGCTGGCCCTGCCACCTCAGAGTCTCCTTCCCCACCGTCTCCTCCTGAAGGAACGTGAGCTTCGGCCGCCTGCTCCAGCCAGCTGACCGTTTTCACTCTCTGATCTCCCCTGTGGTACCTGTTGCCCTTCCCTGATGCATCCCCGCACCCTGGCTTAGTTAGCTGCTGTTCGTTCTTTGGCTGTCTGCTCAGACGTGCCGTCTGCGGGGAGGCCTTCCCAGTCCCTCAGATCAGGTCATCTGCCTGAACAAGGTGCTGGAAGCATCCTGCATTTTTCTTCCAGCAGGGAAGATCCCTGCTGCTGATGGTCCGACTGTGACTGGAAATCAGCAGGGTGAGCTCCCGAGAGCAGGGATGGGTTTGCCTTCGTTCCCTTTTGTATCTCTAGTGCCTGTTACCCTTTTCTGAATGAATGAATGAGTGAAAAAAAGAATGTGCAATGAAAGTAGTTCTGTATGTTGATGCCTTCAAGCAGCTTTCTGTTCTTAAAGACTGTGGAAAATGGACAACGAGCAACTTCATCTGAAATGCTTTCTTTCAGAGAGATTCCCAGAGGTGGATCAACTGGGCTAAGGTATATGAACTTTTAAAGTTTCTTTCTAAATGCAGGGTGACATTAGCTCTCTCACTGAATAGGCAACATTGGAGTAAATTAATCCAGTAGAAATTATGTGGACTCTGCATCCCTGTGCATCTGCTCACAGTCATAGTGGTTTGTGATCAGAGTCAAAGGCCAGTTGCCCTGCATCTTCTCTGCCAGGAACAGGGCACATAGGGCTTTGCTAGGTACTTGTCTAATAATACAGAAGCTCAGAAGATTCTCTTAAGACCATTTTGATCTTGTATTAGAGGAGGAAATGCTGTGATTTGTTTATTTAATTAACATTACAGGGATTTTTTTTCTTTGCTATTCTTCATACCAATACAATGTATCACCTTCTGGATATCTTTGTCATTTGGGAAAGGTCCAAATTACTTTGCTTAAATATGCCCTGGGTCTAGGATGCAGGCATACTAGGAACTTTCAAATTTGAATATTTAAATTACATCATTGAGTTGTACCCACTGGTATTTATGGACTACAGTCCATTTAAATGGTGTTGATTCAGAGATGAGGTATACTGTATTGATCAGACCTGGTTGTGTGGATAGTTTCACAAATGCAGACTTTACAGTTGTAGTAGGTAGAGCTGATGCTATCTGATCAATGGCTCTCATGATTACTGTTGTGTCACAGGTCCTTCTTGACTCACTGGATGATTTATGGAAGCCAATGAGATGACTTTAAAATGCTCATCTGAGTTGTTGTTACCTTGAAGGGTTCGCCTTAGTGTCAGGAGAACAGGTCTTCTCAGGCTGGCCCTGCCACCTCAGAGTGGCCCTTACACAGAAACTTGCAAAATGGGAATGAGGTCATCCCAACAGTTAGTGGAATGAACAGGCAGTTCTGGATTTATCACACATAAATCTGGGAGGAGCAGTGACAGCTACAGAGGAAGTCCTACCTGCTTCTTCGGTCTCCTCTGCCTGTTCCTGTCTCTAGTGCTACTGAAATACTTTTGGTGACTGTCATGTGCTGAAACAAGTATCTACCATTTCGACAGCAGTGAAACTCATACAGGAGCCTTCTCTGTGTGCAGGATCCCTGGGGATGCTGCTCTGCATCAGTCATTTCAGAGAGCAGAGGGAGAAGATGAGTGGGCAGGCTCTAGAAGCAGGTAGTCTGCCTGTGTTCAGATTGCTTACCAGTTTTAAAATGTTGGGCAAACGCTCACTTTCCTTATCTGTAAAATGGGCATGATAGGTAGGATGGAATAGTTGGAGACAGTTGGCCATGTTAGAGGTCCTCAATAATCATTAGCTGCTGCTCTATCTTGTTTAGCGTTTGTGTTGCCACATTGAAGGGTACAGGCTCTACGAGGCACACCATGCTTTTATTTTCTACCACATGCAAAATCTGACAGTGTCTATCACACATTGGCAGGTGTTAATCACTGGCAGTCATTTGTTTCAATGTATATGAGTTTAATAAATGACAGTGTGTTTTCCCATCTGAGGTCTAAACCAGCCATGATGGAGGAGAAGGACAGAGTCTGATGTCAGCTCTGCCCGTGACCGCCATGGGGACTGATCTTTCTAGCTGTGCTGCAGTATGAGGCCAAGCCACTGCTGGCCCTGTGTGCAGATGCCGCCCAGGCTGAGCACCTGCTGTCTGCACAGCCAGGCCCCTCCTCCAGAGAGGGAGAGGTGGGAGCTCAGCTAGAGAATTCTAGGACTTGTTCCAAATTCTTCTTCTCTTGGAAGAAGCAAAGACCTGGAAAAAGGCCTGGTGTCTTTCCCTAATGAGTGGCCCTTACACAGAAACTTGCAAAATGGGAATGAGGTCATCCCAACAGATAGTGGAATGAACAGGCAGTTCTGGGTTTATCAAAACAGCAGAACAAGTGAGCGTGGGGGCACAGGCCTATAATCCTAGTGACTCAGGAAGCTGAGGCAGGAGGATGGCAAGGTTGAGACTAGCCTCAGCGACTTATTGAGGCCCTAAGCAATTTATCAAGACTCTTCTCAAAATAAAAAAGTAAAAAGGGCTGGGGCTGTGATTCAGTGGTAAAGTACCCTAGTTCAATCCCTAGTACCCAAAACAAACAAACAGACCCTCCTGTCCCCAAACAACAACAAAACCAGCTGAACAAACTAGTTGTATTTAGTCTCATGGAGACTGAATTTATCCCAGTAAGACTGGTTCTGTTAAAAAATCCCAGAATGTGAATAGATCAGCTCTTGAACACACATGATTGCTGTCGTGAGTGACACATCTCATATCCCTCTGCCTTCTTTCTTATTTTTTAAGACTTTTCTTTCAGCAAGTTTTTCCCAGCTCCTTCGTCCAAATTAGAGGTCTCTCTCCTTTTACCCTGCACATATACCTCTCAGTACTTGCCACCCTGTCCACAGTGTTGTGTGGCCTATCTTCTCTTTCCCTAGACTGAGCTCCTACAGGACCAGGACCTGCTCTTCCATCTGGTCTGTGACTGGCCAGCTGTTCTTCCAGTGCTATTTGTTGAGTGAATGATGCTTTCATACGTCCTCCACCTCACTGAGTTCACTACTAAGCATTTGGTGTTTGCTTACTGAGGAAAGTAACTGTGCTGTCTTCTGTCTCTAGGCTAGGTCCCACCCAGCTGAAAATCTTCACTTGTGAGTACTGCAACAAGGTCTTCAAGTTCAAGCACTCATTACAGGCCCACCTGAGGATCCACACCAATGAGAAGCCATACAAGTGCCCCCAGTGCAGCTATGCCAGTGCCATCAAGGCCAACCTCAACGTGCACCTGCGCAAGCACACCGGGGAGAAGTTTGCTTGTGATTACTGCTCTTTCACTTGCCTCAGCAAGGGCCACCTCAAGGTGCACATCGAGCGGGTGCACAAGAAGATCAAGCAGCACTGCCGTTTCTGCAAGAAGAAGTACTCCGATGTCAAGAACCTCATCAAGCACATCCGGGACACACATGATCCACAGGACAAGAAGGTCAAGGAGGCCTTGGACGAGCTCCGCCTGATGACCAGGGAAGGCAAGCGGCAGCTGCTGTATGATTGCCACATCTGTGAGCGCAAATTCAAGAACGAGCTGGACCGTGATCGCCACATGCTGGTCCATGGTGACAAGTGGCCCTTTGCTTGTGAGCTTTGTGGCCATGGGGCCACCAAGTACCAGGCTCTGGAGCTGCATGTCAGGAAGCACCCCTTTGTGTACGTCTGTGCCATCTGCCTCAAGAAGTTCGTCAGCTCGATCAGGCTGCGCTCCCACATCAAAGAGGTGCACGGGCCAGCCCAGGAAGCCTTGGTTTTCACCAGCTCCATCAACCAGAGTTTCTGCCTCCTGGAACCCGGGGGAGACATCCAACAGGAAGCCTTGGCAGACCAGCTGCAGCTCGTGGAGGAGGAGTGTGTGTGCCAGGGGATGGATGTGCTCAAGGAGGAGACCTGTCCTGAGGCTGCTCAGCAGGATGAGGGGCAAAAGGAACTGGAAGTTCCTGTTCAAATGCCTGTGCCCTTGGCCCCCACTCAGGTGGAAAGTACTGCCCTGTCTCCCTGTGAACTGGAAACCACGGTGGTCACATCAGATTTGCATTCTCTAGCTGTGGTTTCAGATGATTTTTTGTTGAAAAATGATGCCTCCTCTACTGAGGCTGCTGCTGCTGCTGCTGAGACAACCCTGGATCCCCAGCATGGAGGCTCAGCCCAGACTCAGGGGCAAGAAATCACACTATTGCTGCCCAAGGCCAAAAATGTAGGACCCACTCAGGAGACCGAGAGTGCTGAGAGCCCACCAAGCGAGGGCCAGAAGGCAGCTGTACTTCCAGCCAGTGAACCAGATCCTAGCAGATGTCTCAGGTCAAACCCTGCTGAGGCTGCAGACCTCCTTCCTCAGGCGGCCGATAGTCGGGACATCATGTGTTGTCCTGACTCTTGCAAACCTGCCTCTGAGCACCGGCCTGGCAGCACTGCATTCATGAAGGTGTTGGACAGTTTGCAGAAGAAGCAAATGAACACTGGCTTGTGTGAGAGGATCCGGAAGGTTTATGGAGACCTGGAGTGTGAATACTGTGGTAAGGAAAGGCCGCACCGGGAGTGTGCCAAGTAAAGCTCTCTTTCCCAGCAGCCCTGTCCATGCCCAGGATTCTGTTACCTCGGGCTCTACTTGAGCTCATGTCTCTTTGCAAAGAACAACTCTTAAATGAGCCACCCTCCTCCATGGTAGATAGGAACAGGTGACCCTGTGTTGCAGGTAGCAGTTGGCATCTTTGGAGGCAGCCAAGATGACTGCACAGTTGACCGTGCTGGTTTGGTCACGTGCACATGCTGAGGGTTACACACAGCCTCTGTCAGCACTCTGCCTAAGAAGAATCTTTCTTCTGGTATGTGACAGGTGTCAAGTTGAGCTGTGAGTTGTGGCCACTTCTAGGTGAGCAGAGAGAGGGTATGAAAACGGCTGCAACTCTTGGTAGAGAGGCCCTGAATGGCACCCTTCCAGTGCACAGTGAAAGCACGACTCCTGGGTCTCCTGGGAGTTGGGATGCAGGGAGTGGGGAGCCCAACTCCACACCCAGTGTCCTGGGACTGCCAGTGGGGTTGGTTTAGAGACTCCTCCGGTTGTGCATGTACAGCATAGAGTTTGGTCCTCAAGGAACATTTCTTTCCCTTCCCCATCCCTGACAACATGCACAAGGTGATAGAACCTTAATATGTGCAATCTGCCACTGTTGAAAAGTAATTTACAGACAGAATTGTGGTGGAAAGCATGAAGGGTGACCTGGACAAGCACGCAAGAGAGAGATCTAGTATTAAAAAATAATAATAATTTTTAAAAAATTCAAATTCAGTATAAAAGAAACTTCCTTGTTCTCATGTGAAAATATTTTTTTAGGCAAACTTTTTTGGTACCAAGTGCATTTTGACATGCATGTCCGCACCCACACCCGGGAACATCTGTATTATTGCTCCCAGTGTCATTATTCTTCCATCACCAAAAACTGCCTTAAACGCCATGTAATTCAGAAACACAGTAACATCTTGCTGAAGTGTCCCACTGACGGCTGTGACTACTCGACTCCAGATAAATATAAGCTACAGGCACATCTTAAAGTTCACACAGAGCTGGTAAGTAGCACGCCCGAGTGGCAGCCCTGTCTCCCCTGGGTGCTGATTGCTTTCTCAGATTGATGCATATGGAGGTGTCCCCGCTGCAGGCCATCCACATGTGGACGTCCAGTTCTGAAAGCAGAGAGGGCCTTCCCCTCCCAGCTCCTCCTTCACGGAAGGCACCACGAGACTGCTTTCACAGCCGGGAGTCACTAATATTTTGAAAAAAATGATTAGAATGAACAAATTGCTTTCTGTGCAAATTTGTCAGCGTCTGAGAAACGTCCCCAGAAGAAAGATCTACAGAATAGAAATAAAGCAAGGATTTCTGAAATGACATTTTGAAGAGTTACCAGCAATGGGGATGATGATAATAGCTGCCACTGAACGTTGTTGGGAGATTAAATTAGATAACAGATTAAATTAGATGATTGTACTAGGAGTATTGGGCACATTTAAGAACACAGAGAATGCTAGTGAGGACTGTTGTCATGTTATTGTGTTATTTGTCGTAAAGCACTCATAGTGTCTGTGAATCACTTTTATTAAAAAAAGTGATGTGTTAATTTGAGGTGCTGTCGGTATTCACAGTGGCAGTATTGGTTTAGTTCTCTGGTGGAAGATCATGTAACAATGAATGAATGCTTATTTTTGTAAATTTCAACTTGACTCAAGAGGCTAACACCTGAGAGTGATCTGAGCTGTCTCAAGTCATAGAGTAGGCACACCTGGCCCCAGGGGTGGTTGTGTTTTAACTTCATATTGTTTACTGGCACAGATAGCACAAGATGAGGCTTCAGAAATTTGGTGTGCTGCCATGGCTTTGTGGCATAAAAACTATTACCCCCCTGGCATTTCGTCACTAAGGGTGAAGTCAAGGTATTTGGGTACAGTGGGTTTTGAGGCTGAATGCTGGCTTCCAATATTGTCTCCAGCATGCTCACAGGCTCTGTGGCTTTGGACAGATCACCTGTCCTTTCTGAGATCTTTTCACAGCAATTTGTGTGAAACATAAAAATCCATTTTATATGCATGCACACACGTTTACATACATGCTTACATATAAACTCAGGTACATATATACACATTTATATGCAGATGTGTTTACATACCCCCTCCCCATGTGCACATAGATGTTGTGGAGCTCTCCTGTGGATACTGGGAGGTTGTGTGGAATACTCTAGGTAAAAGAGGTGGGCGTGGTGCTGGCCTTGTGGTTGGCTGTGTGTGGCTTCTGCTTGGCATCCAGCACTTCCTGGTTTACAGTTTTTCTTCTTCCTTGTTTGTCTCTCCTCTCATCCTCCCCACTCCTCCTCCTCATCTCTCCGCCACCTCTGAGCAGGCCATCAAGCATCAAGGCATGTAGTTTGTAATTTTTTATGGAATTACTGCATGTTTGACATTGCTTCCAGTTCCCTCTTAAGGCAAGAAGAACAGAGGTGGCAGAGTTCACTAAAGTGCCTTTGCTGCACAGTCCTCTGTGGTTGAGAGAGAGAGAGAAGCTGGTGTGAGAGCAGCTTCTTGGGAGAAGACCTGTGGGTGGTGGGTGAAAGCAGGAAACACACTGCTGGGCGTTAACCCTGGCACCCCATTTCCCACGTGCAGCCTTGGGCTGAGTCCCATCACCTTTCTGTGCCTCAGTTTACCCATGCTGAGCTGAGGATGAAGTGAGGGACGTTTGTCAGTTTCTTCTAACAGTGCCTGGCCTGGATAAGCACTGTTGACTGTAGCACCCTGGATTTCCAGGCTTTGAGCCTTAGGCTGAGTGAATGACAGCTGGGGCCAGTTGTGGATGAGCTTGGCCGGCTGGGCTGCCTCGTTTATTCCGCACTCGGGTTTTGCTCCCATGCCAGGTGTGTTCCCGGAGGCTTCTGGTCTAACCCAGCTATCTTTTTGCTCCATGTTGTTGCTCAGCTTCTTGCCACACTGGGGGCCTGCAGTCAGCAGGGGAGTGTTGGAAACATCCCCGAGGTCATTGGCTTGAGTCAGAAGCCTCCATTCCTCTTGTCGCTGGCATTTCTCTTTCTGTGGGTTTAAATCTTCCTTCTAAGTGCTTGTCTTATCAGTGGGAGGCGAAGGCACCTGGGGAGGTAGGGGCTACTTGCATCCTGTGCGCTATTTACTTAGTAATCTCCAGGAGCAGAGGATTATTCACCACCTGGGCAGCTCAGGAGGCTTCTTATCTACACTCTCCTTCCTGCCCCGCATTGTACCCATTGTGTTGGCCAGTCATCCTCAGCCACAGGGTTCTTGGTGGGTTTTCTGCCACTCTGTCATTTGGAGGAGCAGGTGGAGGTAGGCTTTGTCCTTGGAGGGCAGAGGCTGCGTGGGTGCTTTCTGTGCTGCTGTGTGGCCCACGCTATGTTAGTGAAGGTCTCTGTGCGTTGCTCATGGAGAGGTGCAGGGCTGAGCACGGCAGCGTGACCTGGCCAGCCCGTGAGAGCCATGCTGCCCTGCCTGTCGTCAGCATGCGCGTTTTCTTAGCAGTGTTACAGTGTGATTTCCTCCTTGGCCACACTGACATTTGCAAGTCTCACAAAGGAGACCTGTTCAGAGATGAACAGCTGCTGCTCCTTCTGAAGCAAGAGGTCATCATCTCCAGCTGGGACTTCAAGTACGGGTAAGGTGGGTCCCTGCCTCTAGGCACTCTTCCTGTTGTTGGGGAGAAGCGATCAGTGAGGGCAGTAGGCAGTGGGTGTGAGCCAGGTCACCAGAGTGCCTCATGCCCTGTGCCCTCCAGGGAGGGCCTGCAAGGAGGATTCTGAAGTTGATGAGCAGATCTGGGTCAGGCAAGAGGACGCGGGGGCCAGGGCCCAGGAGACTCTCTGGCACAAGCCCAGGGAAAGCTTTTTGATTCTGTGCCACATTTGTGCTGTTGCTGCTATGCTGGGAGCATGATTTATGAAAAAAGGTACCAGTATTTTGAGTTTAGACAACACTTGCCTTTGAGCCTGTAAATTATTTCTGTAATGAAGCCACGGGTTCCATGGGCAGGCCGGCACTGGGAAGTCTTCTGCTCCCCTGAATGTGGATGCATTTGATCTGATAGTGAAGCTGCTCTCTCCAGATGTTCTACGAGGAATTCAGGGTCTGCAAGGAAAGTTACCAGGAATTTTTTTTTGTGGTAATAGTTTTATTGAGATATAATTCACATGCCATACAGTTTGCTCATTTAAATGTGAAATTCAGTAGCTTTTATTGTATCCATAATTATGTGACTATCAGCACAATTAATTTTAGAACACATTTGTCATCCCATGAAGAAGCCCATTTCCATTAGCTCTCGTCACTCACTGAGCCCCTACTTTCCATCTCTTGATTTGCCTGTTATGGACATTTCTGCCTGAGCCGCGGTCTTCTGTGACTGTGTCTTTCATCTTGTCATCGGTAGTGTAGCTTGTGTTCACACTATGCTCCTTGTCATAGCTGGATGGCTTTGTGTTGTGTGGATGCTCTGCACTGTGCTGAGTTTGAGGGACACTTGAAGCTGTATTTCTGGTGGTAACGTCACAGGGAGGAGCTCCCAACTATAGACTATCCTTAAAAACATTTTCAAAAATTTGAAAGCTGTAAGAAGAAACTGCGCCCCATCCTTGTTCAGCAGTGCTGTCTTCAGGGGCCCTTCATTGCCCTTGTTCTCGTCGGGAGTGGTGTCATCATTGCCGTGATGCCGATGAACTTAGGGATGTAGGTCACAGGACAGGGTGGCAGCTCCAGTTCTGTACCCTTGTGCAGACGTCTTCATTTTTCTGAGCTCTGTTTCCCTTCTGCAGAAAGTGGAGTGACACCTCCCTGCTTTCTGAGATGGGGGAACGAGTGAGAAGTGAAAGAGCCTAAGGATGTCCTCGTGGTGGAGCTGAGGTTCCCATCAGGGCAGCATCTGGCTGGGTTAGGGAGTGGCACTGTTAATCGGGAAAAGCATGGAGACTGGAGCTTTCTTCCTTTACCCATGACCCTGGCCATGGGAGCGGGTTTTGCTATAATTCTGGCTGGGATTTTCCATATTAGCTTCAGCTTTTACTGCTTTGAGCTCAGATTTCCATGCAGAGCAAAAACTAAAGCCATTTAAAATAGCAGCCCTCTTACCCTTTAAAGGGCCTATATCTAGGTCCATTCCTGTTGCATTAGGATGCTGGGATAACTTGGCAAATTGCCAATTCTGTGACTCTGCCCATTCTTTCTTAGCTAAAGATATATATAATGATTGAAAAGAGTGTGCACATCTAGCATAGCTTCTTCCCACCACTTCCTCTTTTCCATTCGTAACTCTGTGGTGTCAGTTCTTAATCAAAGATATGCAATCATCTCTTGGTATCCATGGGGATTGGTTCTAGGTTTCCCATGATGCCAAAATCCAACGATGTTCAAGGTCCTTACATAGATTAGTGTAGTATTTATGCATAACCTCCCAGGTATTTCAGATTGTTCCTAGAATTCTTATATTATCTAAACAAAGTAAATGCCATTTGAACAGTTGTTATACTGTTGACTAGGGAATAATAACAAGAAAAAGTACAGACTTTTCTTCCCAGTATTTTGGATTCACAGTTTGTCGAATCCACAGATGAGAAACTTATGAATATGGAGGGCTGGCTGTATCGGCATCAAGGAAATTTGGGGACCTAGTCAAGGAAGTTAGTCGATGACATTTCCAGAGCAAATTCTTTTTTTTTTTTTTTTTTAGCATTGTATAAACTCTGTAAAGAGGAGACTTCAGAAAACACAATTTTAGGAGAAGGAGAGGGGGCTTTGGGTTCTGATATGCTGACGTTCAGATCTCATATCCATCTCTGTGATTTTGGGCCAATTGCTTATCTCCCCTGAGCCTCAGTTTTCTCATGTAAAATGGGGATAAGGTCCTGTCTCCTATTTCTCAGAGTTGTGAGGATTAAATTAGAAAATAAGTCCAGAACACCCAGGTTATCATTCTTTCAGAGGAAAGATTCATGGGTCATGATCCATGAGAAGCTTGTGAAATCCATTTAGTATGGCATGGCTAGCTATTTTAAAAACAAAATAGGATAGAATAAAATAGAACTACTTAGCAGTGTTCACCCATAGCCAGGGCGAGGGCTGCTTTCTGGGTCCTGGGTTTAAGGTTAAGCATTCCTCTGTGAGTGCATCAGTGTGCTGGCTGTGCTGTCAAGTGGGCGACCTCCAGGGGGTCCTGTTTTAGAAGTCTGTGGCTTACAATCCATGGGGATTGGTTCTGACCTCCGTGATGTAATCAGTGACCTCCTGAGTCTCAGTCCAGTGGGGGCAATTGTTAGAGTGCAATTCCTGGGCTCCCACTTTCGTCACAATTTGAAGGGCACTCTGGGATCCTGTCAAAGCAGTTCCTCCTGACAGAAGTGTGAAACAGCAGGGAGCCAGGCTTATGGTGTGTGACATGACACTTCATTCCCTGTGCCTTGGACTTTCTCTGTTTTTTGTTAGGGGAAAAAAAAACAAAACCTGTTCATTTATTTTTATTGGTACACTATAATTATACATAATGGTGGGATTCATTATGCCATATTCACATGTGCACATACATAGCAAAACCCAGAGAAGGTAGAGGAAGCTACCTTTGATATCTTTCTGGAAATAAACAGGTACTTCGGGTCAGTATGTATTTTTATCGAGTAGAGGAAACCATTATTTAAAGTGATTGAATATGGTGTTCTTCTTTTTCAAGAGCTGTAAGAATGTGGTCTTGTCTTATTGGATCACAAAGCAAGCTGGTTTCTCTGTGGTCCTGTTGGGGCATTTCATCTACTGTGCAAGAGGCCTTAGGCGACCAGAGCTTGAATGTAGAATATCTGTATATTAGCAAGAGCTGAGATTAGCACTGAAAGTGTATGTCGTGGCAAAACAGGACTGTCACCAGTGGAAAGTAAAATCTTCTGCCACAGTCCTCAGTCAGGTGCTTCTAACTTGATCAAACCCACCCTACCTAAGCGCCGCATTTCCTGGGCCTCCTCCCTCCGCGCTGATTGGTGGGCTCTGAGTATGGGTGTGTCTCTCTAGTGAGCTAGTGTGCCCTGGGTTTCACACCTTCATCCCTGGCACGTAACGGGGTCCTGTAACCTTTGAGGAATGAGTGAGTGAGGCTCTAGAGGTAAGTAAACCCCATGACCACAGAATTTATTTGTGAGAAGTTGTTAGTGTGAAATTCCCTGCCTGTGTTTCGGTGACTTGATATTGGGTATTTCATAGGGCCACTTACTCATGCGTGGGTTACATACATGTGGTGTGGAGGTTCAGTTTGATATTGTCACCCAGTGCTGGTTTTCAGTCCTTTGGGGCCCAAGCCACCTCCTCAAGGAGCTCCGAGTAGTGACTGGGCTGTGCACCTTGGACCTGAGGCTGGCTCTTACCACTTGCCATGCCGTGGCTCATGCTGGTACCCCACTTCTTTCAGAGGGTCCTGATTGCTTTGAAGGTGCCTCCATCTGAACACACAGACTCCAAGGCCTGGGCTCTTTCGAATTCATATGACCTGACCTCTCTCCCACTCCCCAGCCCCTGCCAGGAGTTCTTTAAACCACAGGTCTTTTTAAATTTGCTGTGTGTGTTTGGGCTTCATCTCCAGGAAGAAACTGATATTTTGAAATTGAAGTAAATGGGTTCCAAGAGTCCACCCTTTCCCCAACTCCCTCCAACACTGTCTGTGTCCTTCTGGCAGTCTTCAAAGGCATCACAAAAGAGGAGTCCTTATAAGCTCTAAGATAAATTGCTTTCAGACTATCAGGGATTAAAAGAAGAAAATCAAATCGCAAGGGCCCCAGGAGATCAGTGTGAACTCCTTCAAAGCCCTTCTGAACACTTCCATCAGCCCTGATAATGAGGGTGCTCAGGGGCCACTAGGGTGGTGGGGCCTCCTCCAGGATGGTGCAGGGAGGGCTCAGTGCGTCTTTCCAGCATGGCACTGTGAGCACAAGGTCGAGGGCAGTGCAGGACAGTGTCAGGAGTACACCGAGAAGCAATAAGTTGCTTGACGTAGCCTAGTGTTGCAGTAGGATCTGTGGTTGGCCAGAGAGCTCAGGATGGGTCCTCGGGAATTGCCTGGACTCAGACATGTGGGCTTGGCAGGCATTTCTGGGTCCCAGTGTTTGGGGGGAAATGTGTTCAGACTGTTCTGAGAGACTTTTATTTTGTTTCTTAATTCAACATCCCCTTTCCTAAGTGTGCTCTGGGGAACACCAGTCTCAGGAGATATTGTGCAATAGCACAGAGAACCAACCCACAGAGGAGTTTGGGGGTACTCATTTAGATACCCTTCTCATAGAGATTTCTGGGGTACACTAGCCCAAAATAAGGTCAGCGTCTTGTGCCAAGTTGCAGGATGACATGCCGAAGTGTAGTATGTGAGCCGAGATGGATGAAAACCCCACTTGCTCTGTATGTTCTTGACATCCTTGGGACCCCATGAGTGAGACACTGTTTTTATTGCCATTTAATAGAAGATGAAACGGAGGCACTGGAAAGTCAAATCCCTTGCAAGTTCCTAGCTCTTAAGGGGGAACCTCGGGGGCTCTGAGACCTGAGTCTGTGCCTCTAATCATAGCCTCACAAGAGCGCTCTGGAGGCCAGAGGCCTGGTTTGGATTTCCATCCCTGCCCTTTGTGGTGGCATGACCTTGGGCACGTTCTTGTGTGTGTGGTGTGGTGCTGGTGGTATGTGGGTGTGGCATGGGCTGTGGGCATGCCTTCCCTTCACTGAGGCAGGGATGCACTTACGGGGTGCTGAGTTCCCAGGTGGGAATTCTGCCGCCAACCCTCATGTGAGCATGGACTGTTCCCAGGTCCAGAGTGTCTCTTTAACCAAGGGCTTCTGTGAGTCTTGCTTTCGGGTTTCCTTCGTCTGCATGCAGAGGTCCTTCCCACCAGGCTTTGGCTGTCCACAAGACATGGGCTTGGGAGGTATGTCAGAGGAGCCCACACTGGGTGGCTTACACGGCAGGCATCTGTGGTCTCAGACTGAAAGTCCAGGGTCAGCATGTCAGCCGGTCGCTTCCTTCTGAGGACTGTGAGGGAGCATCTGCCTAGGACTCTGTCCTGGCCTCAATGTCCTTGGCCTGTGGGTGCCTCAACCTGAAATTCTCCCTGAATTTGTATATCAATTTCTTCTTTTTATAAGGATACTAGTCATGTTGGATTACGGCCCACCCTGGCAACCTCATTTTACCTGGGTCACTTCTGTAGCAACCTTTTTTTCCCAAGAAGGTCACATTCTATTGGAGGTCAGGACTCCATTATAGTAATTTTGTGGGGACCTCAGTTTAACTCATAACACCGACTCTTCTGGGGAAAACTGATGTGAAGTAGCTCTCAAGTGAGCTCTGGGAGACAGGGAGATGAGCAAAGTATATGGTGGGGTCATCCTGAGAGCTGCTCCTGGTTGGGTGTGTAACACCGGTGATCACGGTTGACCAAACTGCCACTGGTGCAGAATGAACTCGTTTCCTGCAGCCTTGCAGGAAGGTCTTGGAGTGGCAAGAGGCCTCCTGCGGGGACACCTGGACACTCCTATTCTAACACCCGACCCTTCTCTCAGACTTTGGCCTCAACTTCTCCATCTATAACATGAACATGAGCAGCTCTTTCCTTTTGTGGTTGCTGGGAATCTCAGTATAGTGACTCACATGAACCCCTGCAGAGCACACAGCCATCCCTGGGAGTGCAGTCTGCTGCTGGGTTGTGGAGTAGCACTGGTCCAGGTGTTAGGACTGTGGCTTGACCCCAGCCCCAGGACTGGCTTCTAAGCCCCTTCCTGAGACAGAGCTGATTCCCGTCCCCTCCACTGAGCTCTCTGGGCTGTGCAGAGCCCAGTGGAGGCAGTTAAGCTCTTGGAAGAGTGCACCATGTGTCTGCCACTGCTGATGGTGGAGGTGGTGGTCATGGTGGTAGTGACGATGGTGATGGTGGAAGTTACTTTTCTACAGATGGCCAATCGATTGTGTTCTCTTTCTATTAAGGACAAAAGGAGTTATTCTTGTCCTGTGTGTGAAAAGTCTTTTTCAGAAGATCGATTGATAAAGTCACACATCAAGACCAACCATCCTGGTAAGGTTATGGATTTTGGAATGGAAGTTTAATTTTAAAATGCTTATGTTTATTTTAAAACTCAGCATTTTACATTAACTGTGCTATGTGGGAATGAAGAGGGATGAAGACATGCTAAATTCGAGGGAAATAGTCATTCGTATTTAAAGCTGGGATAGCTATGTAGCTGTTTCATTTTTTGCTCTCATCTGGTCTTTAGCTCTGCCTTCTTCCACCCCTGGTGGTTTCAGTGACCCCTCTCCCCTTCAATGTGAACCCAGATGCCTTTCCATGGGTCTCCTCAGCTTCAGCTCTGACCTAGATCCTTCCTTATGCCTGGCCCTTGTCCTAAGTTGGTGTTATCCAAAGTGGTGGTGCATAAGTGGCATTGGCCCCACCAGGCTGAGAGGCTTCCCTGACTTGGAGTGACAGTGTGGACCTCTCACCCCATACTGCTCAGATGTGTGACCCATGACTACCTGGGCATCCACACGAGGAAGTTACACTCCCTTGCCTGGTTAATTCCTGTTCATTATCCTCCCTCAAAGCCCTATCCTCTGGGAGGCTCTTGTGGCCACTCCGCCTGCTGACACTGTGGTGTGCTGGCCGCTTGTACTCTCCCTGTCCCCCACGGGATCCTTGAGGTGGGGCTTCCCCCTACACATGCAGGGCCAGGGAGAGCAGACGCCAGCCCTCTGCACTGTGTAAATGTGTGACAGTCCGGACATGTGGCTCTCTGCTCCTTTCCTCTTTCCTCTTTTCCCATCTGCCCTGGCATAAAGGAACCGACTCGCTGATTGTGAATGACAAGACACTGAGGCAGATAAATAAGGGAAGGGCAGTAAACACCTCTGTTTCTCTGGGAATGGACTGCCTGAGCCCTCATCAGTGTCACAGCACATGGGCCACCTGATGCTGTGAAGGCCCAGTTCTGTCCTTCACTTGGTAACCTGTGTCTTAAGTGACCAGTGGCCTAACGTGAGCCAAAGGTAGTCATGTAAAATTTCCAGCCTTTGAAGAGAGGTGAAACATTCTTTCTTCATTATTTTAAACTTTATTATGGAAAACCTCAAATTTGAAAGTACACTGAAGAAGTTAAGGACTCCATGTATCCATGACTCAGCTTTCACAAGCATCTGCATTTTGCAGATTCTCTGTTTGTGTATCTACCTTATAAACTTTTTTTTAAGAATATGATATGCCATTTCCCCATGAAAACTTTACGAATCATATCATACTAAGTCAGAGTTTTCTCAACCTAACCACTGTGTCACCATGAAAAGCAAAATTAACAGTGAGTCCTTCTTTCTACTTGTATTTGCTCATCTAATCTTAAGTGACAGGCATTTTTGTTTAGTGATTATGTCACTTGCCTGTGGCCCCCCAGCCTTCCCACCCAGACCTTTTCTCCATGCTATTGATTTCTGAGAGAAACTGAGTTTCTTTTGTAGAGACTGTGTTATGTTCTACATTCATCTGATTATTGCTTTGGATTTTTCTTCACTCCTTGTGTTTTATGGTCAACAGATGTTGTATCTGAAGCTTTTTCAGATTCTGATATAGCTTTTTAGACAAAAATGCTATCTCATGACACCATGAGGCATGTCCTGACTTGCGCCTGCAGGCGTAGGTGCTGCTACCCTGGGCCGAGGGCCTTCATCTCCCTGACTGCTGTCTACTTCTGTTTCAGAGGTCTCCATGAACACCATTTCTGAGGTTCTTGGGAGGAGGGTCCAGCTGAAGGGGCTCATTGGAAAGAGAGCTATGAAGTGCCCGTATTGTGATTTCTACTTCATGAAGAATGGCTCAGACCTTCAGCGTCATATTTGGGCTCATGAAGGTAAACAATTGTCTTTCCATATGGAGCAGCCATTCAGTTTTGTGCTTCCATGCTTCACTCTGGGAGTCTATGGGGAGGAAGCCCTGTCCTCACGTCCCTACGGATGGGCTTTCTTTAGCTTAGAGAGCTGTGTCCACCAGCCAGCTGAGATCATTGATGGCATCATTACCTGATCAGCTGCATTTGCAGTGAGCAGAGGTTGCACTTCTTCCTTGCTCTGGGTCAGTTGTACTGAGCTAAATCACCATGCCTCCCCTGCCAGAAAGCAGGTGCCAGATGCAGGACACTGCCTTATTCACAGCAATGGCTTGGTGCCTGCCATGGTGCATTGCCATAGCGGGCATGAAGAACTGTTGTGTTGTTACAAGTGAACGGAACAGAGGCAGCGATGGCTGCAGGCATGTGGATTGCTGCCAGTCATGTCATGGGGAGAGATTCTGAAGGTGGGAGTGCCAAGTGGAGATGAAGTCATGCAGAGAGGATGTGGGCTGTGCTCGGGGCTTGTCTGTGGGAAGCACCTGGAGCCAAGCCACTCTCTGGGATTAGAGGAAGTTGGAGGTTGAGGTTCTATTAGAGACTAAGGATGAGGCAGGAGCGAGGGCCAGGAGGAGACCCTCTAGACTTTAGCAGTAGCCCCTTGCCTGCCTGTTAGGAGCCTGAAATGTGGCAGGGGGAGAACAAGACTAAAGAGGGGCTGAAGGATGAGGTATTTTCTGCAGTGTGGGATAAAAATGACCTATTGTAAGCCACGAGGGGAACTGTTAGGAAGGGAGAGGCCAACAGTCCAGGAAAGAGAAGCATAGCTGGTGGTATAGGAGCCTGGAGGAGCCAGAGGCTTGGAGACCAGAGGCCAAGGCTGGGAGGTGCTTTTTCATTTATTGGCATTTACTGATGCTTGTGGGCTGCCAGGCAGTGTGCTCAGTGCTTTGCTCACACTATTGGACTCAGTACTTGCAGTAACCTTAGAGACAGGTACCGTGGGAATATAAACCACCAGGGATTTGGAGCAATGAGGTCTTGGTGTAAAACCTACAGTAAAGGCTTCCTGCTTTGGAGCTGGAGACCTGGGATGCTACTGTACCCCCTTGGGATGTGCTTTGATGTGTATTTACCATTTGGGAGAAATCTAATATTTTAAGCAATTTTAGAATTCTGATAAAGTTTCAGAAAAACCAAGGACTTCTGCTTTTCATTGGAAAGTCCTGATATTATTATTTTTTGGCTAGTCTGACTATTTCTATAGTGATGAAATCATGTAGGAAAAAAAGCATATTTGTGCACACTGCAGTACTTGATTCCATGGAATTGACCCCTACATGATAACTATTCATTCTCTCTGTTCTCTCTCAAAATGATACACGGAATAAGGAAAATAGAAATAACAACCAAGTAAATAAAAGAGGAAAACATTGAAAATACCAAGAAAAATAAAGAAAACATGGGAAGTAGCTGTAATAATTAACTATGTGTAGCCATGTTTTTATATACATAACATTCATTGTTCGGAGGATCTGTTTTTGTTCAGGGTTTCATTGTGGTTGAGTGATGCACTGGGACTATCCCCACAGCTGTTCTAAACACTGGCTCCTGTGGGTAAGAGCAAAGGAGCATGGAGGGGGCAGAATCTGGTCCCTCCCAGTGGGGTTGCCTCCCGGGGAAGCTAGAGGTCTTCACAGCCAGGCTGGCCACTTCAGCTGCACCTCTTCCTTGACCACACGTGACATGAGGGTGTAGAGGTACACAGCCATCCAGGCACAGCCGGGCACTGGGAGGGTGAGGAGTCTCTGAGCTGCAGTGTGGCTCTCCTCTCTCCTCTCAAGATGAAGAACAGAAGTTAGGTCTTTGTCTTCTTAGGACTGTGGGAGAGCCTCTGTCTGCATTCCTGAGCTCTTTAACCTTTTAGAAGAATACTTGGTTAAATAGTACCTGAACATAATTCAATTCTTCTCACATTTATGAAGTGTATTCCTCTTGTGTGGACTCCTCCTTAGTGATGATATTGCTGATCTGTCCATAGCTGCGACTGGTGTTTGAGAGCCTGGTCAGGGTACTGGATCAGCATGTGATCCAGAAAGACTGCTCACCAGGCTGGGACCAGGCTGCAGCCTGTTCTCATGCAGGTGTATTAGATGTGAACTGCCCAGAACACAGGCCAGCAGCCAGAGGTTCCTTGGGAGGTGGTTGATGGTCTTATCACTTACAAACATGATGTCTGTATTCTAAGCATTAGTTCAAGGTCACGCAGCTTATTATGGTTGTGGTTAGATTATTACTGTTATCTCCAGAACCCCAGCTCCATGATGGGCTTTGGTGGACTGTGAAGTATGCTAGTCCCATAAGTGTCTATGCCCCTGGACACATCCTACAGTCTCTTTAAAGCCTCCATTTTCTCAACTCCAAAGTCATAGATGTTATGGACAGTGGGTGAAAATGTCTGGCCTGCCAAGCATTACCCTGTGTTTAGGGCTAGGGAACCCGCTATCTCTGACCCTCATAAAATATTACCTGTGCTTTAATGGCTGTTTACTTGTCTGCATCTCCCTCTGGACAGCTGGGGCAGGGACCAAGCCTTCTCAGTTTCAAGATTAGCCCTCAGAGGTTAGTGTAAAAGTAGGTCCCCTATAGATATTTGTTGAATAAAGGAATAGTTTGATGCCAGGTGCTCCTACAGTTTGAGTCATTGGCCCCAAAATGGTGTTATAAAGCTGTTAATCCTATGAATTAATGTTTGTTTTCACATTTGATTTTGAGTGCCCAATCACGTTGATTTTTGCAAAGGCCCTTGGGGTCCTTGATTTTGTTTATTTTAACTCAGTTCAATTGAATTTAATGACTGTCGGCTCTGTAAGTTGCTCAGAGTTTCTGTCCCCTGGGATTTCCCAGACTACGGGGCAATGCAGATGTGAATAGCTTTCAGTATTGTGCTGTGAACATTCTAGCAGTAAGGTTATAGGATTTGGGAACCCTGACAGGTGGGAAATCTATGTGAGAAGGTCAGAGAAGGCAGCAGGGGGGAGGCAACTTGTCTGCCCAGCAGGAAAGAGCATTCTTATGTGAGGGACAGGTTGGAAAGAGCCTGGCACTGAGAGTGTGGAGTGTGTTCAGGAGGAGCAAGTGTGCCTCCTTGTTCAGATGGACACTGTCAATGTAAATCTGTTCCTTTGGATTCATACACACACACACACACATGCAAGTGTGTATGTGAAAATGATATGTACTTTTTTCCCCTGGTAGGTGTGAAGCCCTTCAAATGTTCTTTATGTGAGTATGCAACTCGTAGCAAGAGCAACCTGAAGGCTCACATGAATCGTCACAGCACTGAGAAGACCCACCTGTGTGACATGTGTGGCAAGAAATTCAAATCCAAAGGAACACTGAAGAGCCACAAGCTACTTCACACTGCTGATGGTGAGCCAGCCACCCCAGTGGTGCTCTGCAGATCTGTGGCTTGAGGCTGGCCAGCCAAACCCAGCAGAGGCTGTGGTGTCCCTGGGGCAGGTGCACGGGGGTGGAGGAACAGGGATGGTTTTAGAGAGTGGATCTTCCCAAGGTGCACTAAGGTTCTGGCCTGTCTTTCTTTGTTCCCTGCCTGACTTCCAGAAGGTGCAGGATGAATACTCTGGGATGCAGTTGTGTCAGTGAGATGTTGGGGAGAGAGCTTCCTGGAGTGAGGCATCCTCAGAAGGCCTTGAGGTTCAGAGAGTTTCTGCCTTCCTTAGCCACCATTCCACCTGGAGCTTGGAGACCCAAAGAGGCAACTCTGATTGCACCTGGCTTGATTTTTCAAGCTTGTGCCCTTTTCATCCAAGCCACATTAGGGCTCCTGTGTTCAGTTCAAACTGAGGCTCAACCTAAAGACTTGACTTTGTGAAATATACCAAGTGGATTCTTGGTTTCATTCACTCCTTGAGAACCACTGGCTGATTATGTGTGTGCCAATCCTGATGGTAGATTCTCAGGGTGCTAGTCTGTAGGCACCATCTTTCTTGTCTACATAAGAAGACACCTTGCCTCTATTCTTGCAGCAAACTCCTACCAGCTCTCCCACTTCTGCCCCAGGATCCTCTGTCAGGATAGGTCAGTAATTGTGCTGATTTGCTTTCATTCTAAGTACAAGCCCAAATCCTCTCCAAGACCCAGCTCCTGCCTTCAGGGAGGCTGAGATGTGGTGGGTTGGGGGCTGGCGGGGAGGCCACAGTGAGGATGAGTACTGGAATGTGGGAGGGCCTCTGGAGCCCTGGGGACCAGGGTAAGAATCTAGGAGGGTGGAGAGGCCTAGCACTGAAATGTGTCCCCTGGCATGGGCTGGACCCAGGAAAGGAGATTTGTTCTAAGAAAAAGGCAGCTAAACCACAAAAGGCTTTAAATAACTGTAATTTTTACTTAGAAACCCCAGCTGTATTAGGGACTTGTGAATACTCCAGATCTATAAATTTTACTTATAAAATTTTCCATAATTATATACAAAAATTAGTTTCCTGTGAAGGTCAAATTTCTCAGCAGTGATCGTTAACTTCAGAACTTAGGGGATAGTATAGCTGTTAGGTCGTGCCTTGTGTGTATGTTCTGAACATCAGTCCTGTAGTGTGGATCCTTGGCAGGAATTGGGTTGAGCTTGAGGGACTGAGGGGAGAGGCCCTGGGTTGACTGGGATTCCGCGAAGTGATTGGTTAAGGGCTTGGTGAAGGGAGAAATGGAGCCAGAGTCATGACTGTTAAAACTTGTACAGTCCTATCTGCATACGGTCATCCATAATCAAAATAAAAACTATGAGGGTTAAGCAGCCAGGCGTTGATTAGTAAAGGCATCAAGGCCATCTGTTGAGTGTGAATTCTGTACCTCCTCAAGCAGTAGCCTTACTTATCTCTCCTCTGTGTCAACATCTCAGCAAGAATCATGTTTCTTGACGTCGTTGCACATTTCTTGCTGAAATCCTCAGTCATGAAGAGCAGCTGTCCCCAGAGCCAGGGGAGTCTGGAGTGTTCCCTGCGCTGTGGTAGCAGGGTCAGGAGGCATTCATGGGGACTGGAATGGGCACAGTGGCCTCAGGCGTGGCTGAGGATCTGGGCTGTGTGGAAAAAGGCTGTGCAATGGTCAGGATGTCTGCCCAGGTGGGCCCTGGATCACCAGTGTTGCCTTAGAGGGAGGATGTGAGAAACCCATGTGATAAAAGAAACTTTCCTCATTGGGGGACAATTATTAGTTTATGATTTTGATAATGGTCTTAAAAATCAATAAAAAGTAAAGAGAGAGAGAGAGAGAGAGAGACAGACAGACACTGACTGACTCACTCCTCTAGAGAGGAGGGGTCCAGAGCTGGTGCCTGAGGGAGTTGGGGGTTGTCTTGATCCTTTATAGATTTCTTCTTTATGCGTTTCATCTCATGCTCCCTCCTTCTTTTATCTTGCATATGTGACCAAAAGGTGGGAATGAACAAAAGGTGAAAGGAGCCACCCTGGGCATGCCTCTCCCTATTTTCTACACCTGCCCAAAAGGTGGGAAAGGAGCTGCACAGGGGTACTCATTAACAACTCCTTGCTTTGGGAAGAGAGTTCCCTGGAGATGGATGGTAACAGGTAGGAGGAGGGGAAAATGCTCTGGAGGTATTAGCATTTTATTTCCTTTTGAATTAGACCCCATCTTTCTGACCCAGTCATTCATTATCTACACTGATTATCTGTCCTTTAGGGAACCCTTACTACTGTGATGGGGAATGGGAGATGACCACTCTAGCTGCTTCAGGCTAAGAGTGGGTGATGTGGGGCAAGCAGTTTGGGTTTCCCTTTTAGGAATGTTATATAAACCCTAACTCTTTATTTTATTTGTTTATTTTATGTGGTGCTAAGGATTGAACCCTGTGACTCACAAGTGCTAGGCAAGCACTCTGCCACTGAGCTACAGCCTTAGCCCTTCAACCCTAATTCTTTTTAGACTAGTTTCTTTAAAGAATAAAACTTAATAGACATAAGAAATTATCTTGATACATAAGAAATTATCTTGATAGATAAGAGCAGATTGCAGAAACCCTTATTACTTTTAACACATAGGGGATTAAAGTTTTGGTTTATAGCAGTACAATAATATTTGACTTTAGGAAAAACCTTGAATAGCTTTAACAGATTGTACCAATTATAGCCACTTAGTCACACATAAACTTTTTGAGATTTACCCTCCAGTAACCTTCTATAATTTACTTAGATATTCTACAGCTTTTTACTTTACTACACAAAAGACTTTCTCATCCAGAAACATTTCTTTTTCCTTCTACTTTCATGCTAAAATATATTTCCATCCCTAGACCTTTCTTCTGTCTCTTTCCTAGCTGTTGACCCCTTTTTAATTCACATGTTGAAACAGTCCTTGTGAAATTTCTGAATTTAGACAAATTATTCTACTTTAATAAGATGAAATAGTTTGTTTTTATATTAATTTAATTGAACCTCAATTGAAAACTTTTGTACTCTTTGTATGTATAATTATATCTAATAGTAACCTGGTTTATAGTGAAGACACAGAACCAAAGCATTTGTAAGCCTTTTTCCATTTACCAATTTATGAAAACACATTTAGTGTTTAAATATATTACCTTCTGGAATTTAAGAAGTCAAGAGTTGTTGATTTTATACTTAGCAGATGATGTTTTAGAACTTTAACTTTGCTAACAAACACGTTTATGATTAATCCCATAGATGTTAAAACTGATTTACTAATTTTTAACAGTAAAAACCAAGATAACAGAGAAGTGTAGTTAAAAGTATTAGCTGTCTCTTCCCTGTTGGAGCAAAATCCTGGAGGCAATAGATATTACATTCTAGACATTTTGTAGAAACTAAAACTCTTTTAATTGTTTGACCATAAAGAAAAATTTGTGAGTTAATAATTTTAAAGACATATTTACTCTCATCTGTTTACCTAATTTAAATTGAAGTTTTTTTTGAAGTTACGTGAACTGGAAGGTATTTGGTCCATTTCTCATTTAAATTTTGATTTATGAGTGATCATTTATCTATATACCAATTTTGATACCATATACATGATGTGTGGACACAAGTACATATGTAGACACAACAATACAATACATAGGTATGCACATATAAATAAACATTCAGGAAACAAAGATGTTGTAGCTCTTTATAGGTAGATCTCTACAGGTTGGAGACAATGCTAATAGTAACCTGTTAGTAATCTGTTTTTAACCTGTTAGAAATTAAAATGGAGCCTCCCAGACTTTTACATTATGACTTAAATATAGGGCAGGTTTGTACAGCTGGAAATGTTAGATGTAAAGTCCAATAGCCTTTGTGGACACTGAAATCAAGGGTTCAGGTGACACTTGTCCTTGATGGCTATCAGATTTATTCTCAAAATCACCATGTCTGTGTCTTTCTTATGATTTTGTGAAAGTAGATTTTTCCAATGTATTTGAGAGCTAATCCTTGAAAAATTGACCTCTGAACAGAGAGTATTAAAAACTTCTATAGTTAGATAAAATAAAACTTATCAGAAAAATATATTAACTTAGGCACACAGGATCAAATGTCAATTCACTATAAAACCACAAGCTCAAAAATATAGAAAATTTAAAACAGGAGTTCTAAAACAATGACATGTCCATAATTACTCTACAAAGGAGCATGCAGAACTGCTTTATCAGATCAGATGGCACTTTTGGGTGAGATTAGAGTATGTCCAGTTATTTGAAGAATGTGAGAATCCTGACATCCTCAGGTAAAGAGTCTCAGGGTAAGGAAGACTTGTATATATGGGACCATCCTATTTTGCCTCCCTGTGCTGTAGTGTTTAGGGAGCAACCTATTTAGAAAGCAGGTGGTAGAGTGCAAGAATAGGTAAGATGCCAGCCATTTAGGTCTCACAAGCAGCTTGAATTTAAAGTGATACCTTTTTTTCTTTTTTTGAACTTTGGTTAAAAAGTAGTTTTGGATGATTGCCTCTATAGCTTACATTTCATGTGCAAGTCTGAGAGAATTAGGGATCTGGCACAATCTAAGAAGTAAGGAAAGCTGATGTTCTGAATTTGAGAAGCAAAACCTCATATATAAGGCATTTTAACCATTTTTTCTTTTGTTGAATCTGTCTCTTAAGGTGTGATGCTATAGTTTATGTTTCCTCTGGAGACCAGAGTCTGTTCCCCCAGGTGGTTTGGATGCAGAAAATTATCAGACGAAAATGAGGCACTTTTTAAGCGTGTGTGGTTCAGACTGAATCCCAACCTTTCAGTATTCAGACTAGTGGTGAACCTGGCATAAGTGTTGAAAATGAAGCTCCCACCTCAGTATGAGAAATAGAACCCAGGCTCCTGGACCAGAGGAGACTCCATTTTGTTAGGGTCATCTCCCAACAAGCTTCTCACAATCAGCAACACCCGTCTATCGCCACGTGGTCTTGCC